TATCTATCTATCTATCTATCTATCTATCCATTAGCTCCCCTCGAGAAAGACCAGACTGTCTGCTCCTGTGAAGACTGACCGCCTGGGAGACCCCCAGGGGCAGCTCCGCCCTGTCCTGCAGGGTCACTGTGAGTCGGCATCCGCTCCATGGCAGTGAGTTTATCTATCTATCTATCTATCTATCTATCTAACTATCATCTATCTATTTATCTATCTATCATCTATCCATCAATCCATTGATCTGTCTATCTATGCATCCATCCATCCATTTGTATTTATCCATCAGTCCATCTAGTGAAGACAGTAGGCTGCTAACTGGAAGGTCACCTTCCTAGACCACCAGCCTCTCAGGAGAGAGTCCAGCATCGCCTGTGGGGCAGGTGGGGCCTGTCCTGCTGGGCACTGAGTCCGGATGGACCCATAGCAGTGAGTGGGCTTTCTATCTGACACCCCCACCCCACCCCTGATCCCGAGCCACGGCGTCCTGTGCTGCCAGAGAATCCGTGCCCGCGTCCCCGCTGCCCGGCCCTCACTGGGTGTTCACACCAGCGCTGAGAAGGCAGTGCCCTCTCCTGGCCAGCAGTGCCCTTCACCTGGCCCACAGTGCCCTTCACCTGACCAGCAGTTCCCTCACCTGGCCCACAGTGCCCTTCACCTGACCAGCAGTTCCCTCACCTGGCCAGTAGTGCCCTCACCTGGCCAGCAGTGCCCTCTCCTGACCGACAATGCCCTCACCTGGCCAGTGCTCTCACCTGCCAGCAGTGCCCTCACCTGGGTGGCAGTGCCCTCACCTGGGTGGCAGTACCCTCACCTGGCCAACATTGCCCTCACCTGGCCAACAATGTGCTCATCTAGCTGGCAGACTCCTCACCTGGCTGGCACGCTCACCTGGTCAACAATGCGCTCACCTGGCTGGCAGTGCTGGGACAGCCTGCTCAGGAGGGCCTGCACTCTGTCCTCGGGCCAGTCCTGCAGGAGGCTGGACAGGACAAACAGATCTGCTTCCGGGAGCGGGTCCTTAAACAGGTCACCTGGCGCAGAGACAAGGGGACACGGTGGGGTCGGGAGCAGGGTGCCTGGCCTTTTCCTGACCTGCAGGGGCTGCCCAGCACGGAGGACAGAGCCGGGGCGGCTGTGAGGGGCCAGGACTGAGACAGCCCCCTGCAGGACCCTGAGTCCCCGTGCTGGGGGTTCCAGGGTTCACAGAGGCCGCGGGGAAGTCCTTCGGGAGATGCGGGATCAGCCTTTCCTGCGACGGCTCTGGGCCACTGGTCGTGCGTCCTCGGCCATTCCCACCACCCCTGAGCTCTCCCTGATCTCTCTCTCTCTCTCACACACACACACAGCACACACACACATACACACACACACACACACCTGCACCCAGCACACCAGACAAGCACACACCCTCCACAGCACAGACCTGCACAGAGCACACCAGACATCACACCCCTATAAAGAAAGAGATGCACACGCAGGTATG